CCAGGTACAGCACGCGCAGCCGCTCCTCCGCCTCCACCTCCGCCTCGCCCTCCACCTCCACCTCCGCCGCGTCCCGGGCGCGCCTCGAGTTCGCCTGTAACGCATTCATCGTAACGAAAATAATTGTCACAAATGTCGTTTATATATAGTTTGTTGAATGTTTGCGCTAGTTCGATGTGTACATCTATTATTTTCATTTCATCAATATACCTGGTGTATCCAAATAAATAAAAACGAAGGATAATCGTAAAACCTGCAAGGTGTGGAAGAACCCCCCGCCGGTGATGATCTGCGTGAAGTCGTCGAGGTCGAGGTGGGGGTGGAGGTGGGGGTGGAGGTGGAGGTGGGGGTGGGGCTGCGGGGGCGGGGTGAGCGCGAGGTCGCAGCGCCGCCGGGCATACGCCCAGTAGTAGCCGCGGCGCGCCGCCCGGTCCGCCAGCGCCGAGGTGAGCAGCTGCGTGTCTTCACTGGAGCTCTGGTTGATGACGTCACGGAGGAGGCGCTCCAGCAGATGTTCACTTTGTGTGAGCACCTCGTGCTCGCTCCACTGGAAGGGAGCACTGACTTCAATAAATCCTCTGTTATCATAATTAGACGAGCATTTAATTTGATGAGTGATGATTTAAGCGGAGGTATCACAATACATAAACACTTTCATTTGTTGATACAATTAAAGCTGTGTCGTGGTGCGGAGATAAAAACACGGTTATTTTTATAATGTTTCTATTTAAGATAGATAGATAGTTTGACAACTGAGGCCTATAAAGTATCTAATTAATTTTGTATGAGGATTAACGTTGTACTTGTTGTGCGGTCGTCATAGTGTCGGAGGTCTCGTGCATCACGAACAACTATGAACTATCGAGAATCGCTTCTGTTACAATATAAATTGAGGAAATAAATACTATGTCTTAGTTATTTTATTAGTTTTTGAATTTATTACGCATTTTTATCTGTGTCACGCGCAATTAACTAAATAGACATTAAAAAAGTTCTTTTTGTTACTCAACATCTCTATTTTTTTGTTCAATATCTTATTTTTCTACGTAGTTTTGGAAAATAAAGTGGACATAAAAAGAAGAATATGATTTACATTATAATTTTTGAATATTGTATATTATTATTGTAACATTGTTTTTGAACTGTTGAAGCGTTATTCAATGTTTCAATTTCCGTGAGACGTCGCCTTCACAAAAGTACTCGTACAAGTAGAACTGAGGGCGGCGACACGTATCGCCCCGCCCTCAGTGAGGTACAACAATAAAGTTAAATAGAGACTCACTATCACGTAGTGGTCCTCGAGCGCAGCCAGCAGCGCGAGGTCGTGCAGCGCCGCCAGCAGCTGCTCCAGCCACAAGGCGCCCTGCAGCAGCGCACGCGAGCTGTGGGCGCGCGCCCTCAGCGCCATCAGCGCCCGCAGGCAAAGCGCGCGGAACACAGCTCGCCGCGCCCACAGCCGTACCTCTCCCGCCTCCGGCCGCTCGACGCGCCGCTCGCTCGACTCCGCGATCAACTTCTTAACGAGAGCGCTGTCATCGTCGAAGGGGCAGTTGATGTTGCCCATGATGCAGTCGCCCTTCAAGGCGCAGTACTCCAGGGAGTTGTCCGGCGGCGCGTCGCAGGGCACGAGCAGGAGCCGCGCCACATCCGATTCGGCGGGCTCGGTGGGCTCGGCGGTCGCGAGGGCCTCGGTGGGCTCGATGGGCTCGGCGGTCGCGAGGGGCTCGGTGGGCGCGTCGAGCAGGTCGGCCGCCACGTTTGCGATGTTCTCGATCTCGTTTACATCAAAATTTTCCGTTCTGAAAAAGTTACATATTATTATGACTGCCATTTTATATATGAGGAGTGTGAATGCAATGTACAAGATTGTTCCTCCCCCCGGCGAGGTGCACGTACCGCTGTGCGAGGTGCGCGTGCACCAGCCGCACCAGGCGCGCCCGCAGCCGCCGCCCGGGGGCGGGGCTCAGCGCGCTCAGCGCCGCCCGCCACGCGCAGCGCACCTCCGCACACGTGTCCGGCGACACCAGCCCGACCTGACACACACACGCGCGCGCTTACACTTCATCTCATTGAACAGTGCAGCGTAAGCAAAAAGTCATTTTAGACAGGTACGGTAGTTTAGACGTCATAGGACCTACGGGCACGTGCAGCTGCAGCGAGAAGAGCGCGTGCGCGAGCCGCGCGCAGTGCGCGTTGCGCGTGCCGGCCAGGGCGCTGCACACCTGCGCGGCCGTGCGCGCGCGCCGCTCCGCCGCCTCCCGCCCCTCTCCCTGGCCCTGGCCCTCGCCCTCCGCCACCAGCGACACGGCCTCGCAAACTTGTTCCACAATTAGTCCTATTGTCTCGTCGCTCGTTATACTTTCTGAAAAAATTGGATTCATTAAAATAGCTGAAATAATTTAGGTAAACAATATTTTTAATGACCTCACCTCCCTGAGGGTCGTGTCCGAGGCAGTGCAGCAGCAGGTCGGCGGCGTGCGGGGCGTGCGGGTCGTGCGGGGCGTGCGGGTCGAGCGCGCGCGCCGCCAGCGCCAGTAGCGCGCGCTGCACCAGGGCGCCGCGCAGCCAGCGGCGGGCGGCTGGGGGTGCGCAGTGCGGGGGCGACACGCTCAGCGACACGCACCACTCCAGAGCGGGGGGCGGCAGCTGGGGGCGGCACGAGAGACGCGTTACATATGTGCGACACACCGACTCACCTGACAGTACTTCGATGGCGGAAGAGGCTCAGACTTAAAGGAACGAGGTCGAAGTCGACAATTACCCGTTCGAAGGACCGGAACACCTCGTCCTGCTCCTCGTCGTCGAGATGCTTCAGCAGAAGGAATACGACGTCGAGAAGCGGCCGGCCGTCCTCGCCCTCGTTCTGGAGGCGGGCGCGCAGCACCGTCTCGTACAGGGCGAGCACGGAGGGCACGCCGAGGCGGGCGGCCAGCGCGGCCAGCAGCGGCCCGCTCTCGAACTCCACCAGCAGCGCGTGCAGCGGGCGCAGCAGGCCGGGCGCGGCGTGCTGCAGGTACAGCGCGCAGGTGCGCTCCACCGTCTCCTGCAGGTGGCGGTGGTACCTGGCGGCGCCGGGGACGAGCTCCGCATGCACCGTGGGCTCGTCGTCGGCGTCTCCGGCGAATTTTATGCCGCGCTTCTTTTTTTCGTCTCGGCCGAACGCCGTCCTGAGGCACCTCAGGAACAGCACGTGGTCCTCGGCCACCCTCTCCACCTCCGCGTCGTGGGCGGTGTGGGGGGGGAGGTGGTCGGCGAGGTGGGCGGCCAGGGCGTCGCCGACGTTCCCCCAGCAGGCGGACAGCAGGCGGTCGGAAGCGAGATCCGCACGCCGCAGCCAGGTGGCCGCGAGGGCGGCGAAGTCTGCGGCCGTGTTGCGCAGGAGGGCGGCGCGCGCGAGGCGGTCGGGCACGGCGAAGGCGCGGGCGAGCCACGCGCGGTGGGCGCCGGGCACCACCTCCTCCGCCAGCTCCGGCTCGCGCTCCGACACGTGCCGGAGGAGCTCGCCCAGCGCCTGGCTCCACGCTCGTCGCTCACTCATCGAACTCATTATATTTTTCTTTTCTAATCTAAAATAAGACAACATGAGTGACATTTCGTCGATCCGGACCGAGGTGGGCGCGGGCGTGGGCGTGGGCGCGGGCGCGGGTCTCACCCGATGAGCATGGAGTCGAAGAGGTCCATGTAGAAGCGTGCGGTGCGCGCGGCGGAGGGCAGCGCGGGCAGCAGCGCGAGCAGCAGCTCGGCCAGGCGCGCGGCGTCGCCCCACCCGCCTGCACGTGACACACACACGCACATGTATCTCCATACAAATCGACGGTTAAATTTAATTACGACGGCGCTCACCATTCTGGAGAAGTTCGTGAATCCTTTTGACGAGGAGGGCGAGGTCCTTGTCGTCAGCCCACGCGCGCCACTCCTGTCGGATGACAACGACACGCGTCAGAGACGAGGACGAGGCAGACAAAAACAGAACATCATAAAGTGAGAATGTGGTAATCGGGCCACCTGCGCGTTGTGCACCAACAGCAGCAGCGCGGCCCAGCGGTGCGGCGTGTCGGCGGCCGGCGCGGCTTGTGCGGCAGACGCTATGGGCGCGGCGGGCGTGGTCTCTGTGGGCGTGGGCGCGGCGGGCGTGGTCTCTGTGGGCGTGGGCGCGGCGGGCGTGGTCTCTGTGGGCGTGGGCGCGGCGGGCATGGTCTCTGTGGGCGTGGGCGCGGCGGGCGGCGGCGCCAGTAGCGCGCGCCACGCCCGGCGGCTGCAGTCGGTGTCGACTCGGGCCCCGAAGCGCGCCCACACGCTCCCCACCATGCCGTACCACGCCGCGCTGCACATACATACACAAAATTATTTCTATGCATATGTACTAGCTCTCGCTCGCGCCTCCGTCTGCCCGGAATTTAAAAAAAAATTAACATGCAGCCTAAGTATTCTTCCAGACTATTTTCTATATCTATGCTATAAATATTCGCATTTATAATATTAGTAAGACGTAAGATATACTGGTATCATAGAAGCTTATCTCGTGCATAAAGCTGACAACTGTAATTCCATTCCTTTTTATTACACAAAAAAACTTTGCACTTGGCGTTAAAAATTCATTTGCAGAAGTCAAAAATTGAAATGGTTCCACCACGGGCACTACTACTACCGTTGCCTCGGCTTGCTATTTTTATTTCTTTTCACCTCCTAAGGTAAGTGGCGCAAAACTATATATCCTTAAGTATTTTTATTACAAAAAAGAGTATTTTAAGAATGTGCCACGAATGTTGCAATCTTTATATTAATATAGATATGTAGTGTTGTATGGATGAGGGCGCGGGCGGGGTGAGGGCGCGGGCGGGCACTGACCGTAGGCGGTGGTCGTGGGCGTGGGCGAGGGCCCAGAAGGCGCGCGCACGCAGCAGCGGCTGCAGCGCCGCCCACAGCCAGTCAGAGCGCGCGGCCGGCAGCGCGGCGCCCACCAGCGCCAGCGCGCCCAGGCTGCTCGCCACTATGAACCTCCCATGCGCCTTCCTCTCCTCCTCTTCCGTCCTGCCATTTTGTTTTCCGATTATTTTGCTGATTCAATTGAGGCGTGCGGCGTGCGGCGTGCGGCGTGCGACGTCCGCGTCACCTCGTTGCTTTTACTGTTTCTTGGAAAAGGTGTATTATAATGTAAATAGATGCAGAGAAAGCCGCACTTGAGAAGCAGCCGGCCCTCGCCACCGCTGGAGATGTTGTCGCGCACCACGCCGATGATCTCCTCTCTGCAGAACGATATCGCCTTCCCCAGCTTCTCCTCCGGGAAAGTATTCTGTTAATACAATAATATTATTGTTACACGAGAACACTCATCTAAAAACAACTACCGTCAACAACAGCGTCAGAGAGGTGTGGACGCAGTGTTATCATGAGTGCGGTGTGGGAGCGGTGTTACAATGAGCGTGATGTTACCGTGAGCGCGGTGTGAGAGCTGTGTTACAATGAGCGTGATGTTACCGTGAGCGCGGTGTGAGAGCTGTGTTACAATGAGCGTGATGTTACCGTGAGCGCGGTGTGAGAGCTGTGTTATAATGAGCGTGATGTTACCATGAGCGCGGTGTGGGAGCTGTGTTACAATGAGCGCGATGTTCAATGAGTGTGGTGTGGGAGCTGTGTCACAATGAGCGTGATGTTACCGTGAGCGCGGTGTGAGAGCTGTGTTACAATGAGCGTGATGTTACCATGAGCGCGGTGTGGGCGTGGTGTCTGGCAGGGCCGTACTCGTCGCAGGCGGCGAGCAGCCAGGCGGGCAGAAGACGGCGCAGCTGGGGCGCCAGCTGGCGGCCCGCGCGCGCCGCCAGAGCTGCCTGGCACGCCTATATACATACATTATTAAACTTCCTATCTAAAGCTTATTGAAGATAAGACCTATAATATTAATATTTGAAATGAAAACAATTGAGATATGGTAAGATAAATGACCTGGGTATACTCTCTGACTTTACGATCCATATCCACACTTAGTATAGGATAGAAGTGGGCCCAAGCTGGCAACGCAGCGACTGCCTCCTCGGTGGCACTGTGCCTCATCAGCTCCAGCAACTCCTGCAGCGCCTGCCAGTTGCATTCATTACATTTGATACAAATAAATAGTGATGACAGATTTAGACAGAAGCTGTAATCAACATGAAAAATGTTCCAGTGAGGTTCTGCACGGAAAATGGGCAATAACCACACAATCCTCTTAGATATATTTGTGCTATATTATGAGTTACATTCTAATCATCTCTTATTTAGCCTTCATCGCAATGCATAATAATTGATTAATTCTTTACTAAGTTAAACAATCTCCATAGGCTACTGTGAATATTTTATAGCAGCTGTTTGTTGCTACCTTAAAATACTTTTTTTTAATTTCCACATACCTTAGTCTTAGTTATAGGATCTTTTTTATTGAATTTTTTGAAACATAATGCATATTCCGTGTTGAGGCCATGCTCAATATTAACAGCAGCCAGTGTAGGGAAGATGGGTGTCAACGGCTTGCCAGTTGTTATGCCAAATATTGCTGAATCCTTTGTAGAGCTAATAAGAAGCTCTGCACTACGCCCACTGCTAGACGGCTGAAATTTACAACAATATATATCTTTGTATAATTTTACATGGTAATAACATAACTATTATTAACTTAAATAATTCTTTTAAACATTCTAAAATATAAGCAACAATTGGTTGACGAATGGCAGGAGGGTCGCTGAATTTCAAATGTTGTAAAACCTGTGTAAGATACAGTATTGTCATCTTTGTTCTTTTGAAAGATAATTACTGGCTCAGTAATGTTTCACTTGTACATATGTTGTGGCAGTCAGTCAGAACTCACCTAGCTATGTGGCTGCTGTCATCTTATTTTTATGCATGAGGGTCTGTCAATGTTATGGTTGCAGCCTTTGTACTTTGCACAGAACTGGTATTGAAAAGTAAGTTGACAATATATTATCATTTTTCAAGGGACGATAAGCCCGGTGCTCAGACTTGACATTTATTTGTATAAGAATTTAGGATGACCCTTATGTTGTACTCACCCGTGCATTATTTTTGGTTCGGTCTCTTTTCGATTTTCCACCCATCGCGAAATTGTTGTGAAATTAGGAAACAGTTTTTAGATGTAAATTATTATATCTTGATCAATTTCGTTTCTTTAAACTATCTTTTATTTTGTTATAAGTTCCAAGAGCAAGACAAGCGACTACCTACAAGAAATAAAATAAAAGTTTAAAACGCGAAACAAAAATGATGATATTATGACAGACACATAACATGACATTGACAATGACATTCTCAATGTATTTCTCATTTTATATACTTTGGTGTTACCTACAACTTGAATGCTCTTAGTAATTTCTAAATATTTAAATTGATAATCTACACAAATTAAAACAGCTTTAGGATTTTTCATCAAAACACAAGGTAATTCTACTTTTTTTTCTTAATTATATTCAGCATTAACAGAACACTAACAACGATTAGTTGCATATTATACCCATGTTCTTGACATAAGCAATTAAAACTACACTTTAAATCATCACATATAACAGTTTATCATTTCCGAAATATAAAAATGGCAGCATTATACTATACCGTCTAGGTATTGCCCCCTTTTAGGACTAAATGTGACACTGTCTGAAGACGACATTGTTAGTTCACATATTTTCCGACTATTAAAATATCCGTATGGGCGTTTATTTTCGCGCCGCGATAAAATTCTGCTTTGGCGACTTTCAAGTGGAAGAAATTAAAAAATTGAAAAATCTTTTATATACTAAGTTTATGGTATTCATTGTTAAATGTAAAACTCTATTTAAGGAGTAAAGAAAGCACTTCCTGTTCATTAAATTACATAATTCTTTCATATTCTTTTAAAACATTAGATTTAATGAAATTCGGAATAAACAATTGAAGACCTTTATTTTCCTTTCCCGCGTCTATGTTGCTTTACCTGTGTACGAGCGATAGCGTGGATAAAATTTCTGCTCAAATGTTTTTCTCACGAAAAATTTGTCGTTTTTCTAAGAAAAAGCATCGTCATCATCCTTTGAATGTGTTTAAAATTAAGTAAACTACACGGGGTAAATAAATGAATACTCACAGGTTTTTGCATTGAAATGTCAATATATATATATATATATTTTTAATATTCATAAATTCAATATACATTTTATCAAGTAAAATGAATTACTATAATTTATATAGGCAATTTTTAACACGTTTTAATCTATATGTAAGTTTAACAATCTAGAGTGCTCAGTGTAACAAGTTGGCGGAGGGCGCAACCTCCTCTCTCCCTATGGCATTAGGAATTCACGTTTGCTTAAAATTATCACTTAATCTATGCATGTACGAGAAAGAAATACTCTGCAATATTACAATCGTATAACTAAACGTTGCCATAGTACATAATGCCGTTAAATTTAAAAATATTTTTCCTTGTACTTATTATAATTAAACTGTTTTTGGCACAGAACTTAAAAGCTAAACTAGAGTGAGGACGCGGACGGGATGATCATATTGTACAAAAGTCCACGTCCCTTTTTACATAATTATTCTTTGGTTTGTCTAGCCCATCGGTAATTTAGAATAGCTTACAATAAAATTATAATAAAATATGAAATAGTTGAAACAGATCTAATATTATATAAAATTAATTATATGTATATCGTAGAGCGTTCGTATCGAGTTTGGGCACATGGTGCACATGGGCACGGGCACAGTGTACAATACAGCAGATGCACAGCGCCGTACGTTGCGCAGGCTCACACACACCTCGCTTTACTATTTCAAACAGAACCTACTAACTATACCATTATTTAATATCTGCTATATGTTACGTAATTCGTTGCATAGAAACCTTTTAAATTAACTTTATCTACTTAAAATTACACAATAGAAATAATCGTTAAGTGGGTCTTAAATGTATTTGCTTAGGAACTTTGTGTTCTGCTATACTGCTGGAGTGGTCGCGGATCTCGCGGTGGAGTGGTGGAGTGGTGGAGTTGTGGGGTGGTGAAGTTGTGGAGTGGTGGAGTTGTGTAGTGATGGAGTGGTGACTCGATGCGTGCAAGTACTCCTACTGCCCATACTCAATATACCTTTTTGTACATATAAAGCTATCAAAACAAAAATATCAACTTGACAATTGAACGGGTAACACGGAAATGTTGTATGTGAATGATATGTTGACCAGACGTGTATGAAAATGTATGTTGAGGTAAGAGGGGGCGGAGGGGGCGGAGCGCGAGGAGCGGAGTCTCGTAGGAAAGCTGTGTGTGATCAGGGTCAAGCGATGACATGAGATTAAAAATTAAGTACATTTTTGATTATAATGAAAAGCCGGCTCGTGCACGCCGCTCCGAATCGCAGATAATTAAAAGCACAAACTGCGATTTATCGGTAACTTCACGGATTTACCAAGTAGGCATGTGGTGTAGTTATCGCCGCCATTTGCTAACTTAAGAATTTTAAGCCGATTGACATAATATTTTTAAGAAGATCGTTTAATTTATGAAATTTTCAAAACGTATAAAAATATTTTTTTGAGCGAATAAAAATATACCTTGCAAAAATAATGTTTGTCGACATTTATTGTGTATTTGAATAATGTGTTAATGTTGTTAAATGAACAAAACAGTTTTAAGTGGGTGCCTCAACTAGTTGGAAAGTGTAAAGTTTTATCAATAAATCCTAGGACCCACCATAGTTCGGTTCGGTTAGGTTAGAGTGCAGTATAGTACGCATACTGGTTATATCTAACATCATACATATATATCTTATCTATAATCATTTACATATTTTTACAAATAAGTATTTAATATAATAAAGTATGTAGGCACGATCACAAAAAAGGAAATTATAAATTTCATTATAATATCAGTTAAAATGTTATTGTATTGTTGAGATGGCCCTTATTGTCACACGTTGTCTGTCGTCCCCCGGGGGGCGCGGCGGGCGCGGGGTGTCGCCGGAGCCGCGCGGGGTGTCGCGGGGCGCGCGGGGTGTCGCGGGGCGCGTGGGGTGTCGCGGGGCGCGAGGTGTGTC